CAGGTCCTTCACGGCTGCCTGTCGTCTGGCACACTCAGCCACAGGGCTCCAGGATGTATTTTCTTTCTTCTGCAAGTCACCTTTTATTATCCCTTCACTACACAAACAATTCCTTAAGAACATGTGACGTGCTTATAATGCAAAGTTAGAATAGTAATTTCTCTTATTCTCCTTTTCCTTCTCCTTTAATGCATTATTCCAACAACTTGGAAATGGATGGGAAATAGCAAATTTATTCAAGCTTATTACATGGGACAACTGAATGGAGTCATTGAAGAATCCAGAATTGTCTCTGGTCTTTCCCTTTAGAGGATGGAAGATTGAGAAGGGAAACCACCCACAGAAGTTTAAATAATGAGAGTCAAAGAAGGGGACTAATATTGCCACAAGTAAGTGCTATGATTGCAGTCTGTTTGATCTTTGAGAGTGACTGGACAGTGTGCTATGAAAAGTCCAGAGTGGTGGGAATTGTGAGGCTTTACATTTACTTTGGCCCTCCAGTTTCTTAAACCACTCTAGGTCATAGCAAAATTATCAAACTGTTGAAGGAACAGGTTATACATGGGAAATGACCTTTTCAGCATCAAGCAGAGAACAGGATGGAATTATTCTTTGCCAATGTCCTGAAAGTCTAGCCTGGAAGTGTTTTGCACATGAGCTTTGAGGGACAGTTACTGTATTTTGCACACAGAGATGTGTCTGAAGACCAATATATTCATAAAAATAATACACTATAACTTGGAAGTTGCTCTCTCCTACTCTTCACTTTCCTCTTTATAACAATTTTGTCTTCTGTGGAATACTATTTGTGTTTAGAGTTGGAGAGATATGCTTTTGGCCTCTCTTCCTGTTTGAGTGATGAGAAAATGTGATTTTAATAGCAATCTTCTCAGAACCTGAGGAGGTGAACAAAATCATTGTCCAGTCTAATTCAGGGCCCTGTCTTGGATCAGGTACCCTGTTCTCTTTTAGTCCAAGTGGGTTTTCAGGAAATCTCTCTTCCAGAGAAGTCACTCATGGGTGTCCTGCATTCTGGAAGCAATCTTGAGTTGGAGCACAATCATCTTAAGGTTATGAGCTCAGAGGACTCAACCTGCTCACTGCCTGCTAAGTTTTGTTTCTCAGGTTCTCTGGGATAGCAACAAGACATCCTGTTTTTGAGGTCTGTAGGAATCTGTGAGGTCACACTGCTTCCCAGGAGGCTATTCTCACTCCTACTTCCTTTCTCCTTATTCTACATCACTCCTCATTCCCCAGGAAAATGGAGCTGAAGAGTCACCGTGCTTCAGACAGCCCTAAGTTTTAGATTTCAGAGTGAAATAAAAGAGGATGTGGATCAAACAAGCAAAATGTCTTCTGGTTCAGCCCTTCACCAGGTGGTCACCGCTCATGCTGCCTTCCTACCCTCCTCTCAGACTGTGGACTGCCTCATATCCCATCCTTCCTGCTGGCCACCCCTGGGTTTTGTGGTCAGGTCCCCTCTCTACCCAACTAGAAGGCATGTGACCCGCAGCTGCCTTCCTTGTCTCAACTTTTGTAGGGAGGGCAGGGGTGCAGGGAAAGAGATAACGTCTCTGCCCATTTCCCTTTTCTGAGTTTCTGGGAACCTGGCACCCAGTACCCCTCGCTCTGCCACCACAGGGTGACCAGGGAGGGTGACCATGGCCAATTCCTGCTCACTTCTCACAGAGTTGGGCTCTGTGCAGTTCCAGGTGCACTGTGACTTAGACACTGGAAGAGGAAGTGTCAGGGACCCCAAGAATCCCCTCCAGGCCAGGCTGGTGTGACTTTCTCTCTTGGACAGTAGAGAAGGACTCCAGGTCTCTTCACCTGCCTTGTACCCAAGGATGCGGGTCCTCCATATGGTCACATTCTGATGACAAAAAGAATTAAAGAAAAAAACTCCCCAACTGCAGAAGGAGTGAACACTGTCTCAGAAGCAAACAGTTGCCCCATGTAGCATTCAGCTCTGGGCTCATTTAATTGAATTTCATGAGTTAGGGGTGCATGTGATTGGAGGAGGAGTTGGCTGTCCAACCCTGCAGTGATTGAGGGAAACTCTAGAATTGGCCTTTAATGCCAGAAATGTAGCTAATAAAGCTACATTTATTGGTGCTATTTTGGCACACACAGTTGTGTTTCAGGTTAAAAAAAATAATTTAAAACTATTCCTCCTCTTGGAGTTGGGGGGTGTGGTGAAGAGAGGGGCAAGACCACACAGACTAAACAGAATCAGACAGTGCAACCGTAAGTCATTTATTTCTCTGAAACGGAGAAGAATGCAGTTTTTCTTGGGGGCTGGGTGCTGTTCCACTTCAAAATAAAAACATTTCCAAAGGCATTTCTTAAGAAGGAACACCCACATCTAGTGACATACCTATCTCGTTTCCATCTGACAAGATCTGCCCTACACTCGATTTTAAAAGCAAAACTATCCCTCAAGAAAGGCCAACCCCTCTGCACCCCGCTCCTGCCTTTGTCCCTGCCCTTGACCCCCGCTCCCAAGGCTGCAGGACCAGGCCGCTCTTTCCTTCGGGGACACAGGGGGTGGCCGATTGTTCCCTTTTCGGGCGCTGAGGGAGGCCACCACATGCCCCAGGGACGTCTCCAACCCGGTACAGCCACCCCTGGCTCTTCCTGGGGCGGGTCGGTGGCTGTCCGCACCCGTGGGGGAAGAATGCACAGGAACACACAGAATCATCCCAGAAGTCGATCAAGAATCCCGAAGGTCTGGGTCTAGGGAATCCCCGAAGAGCCACGATGCGCCCCTGGGCGCCCCGTACAGCTCGGTCGTTTGTGTGTGTGTGTGTGTGGGGGGGGTGTTTATAAACACAGTACAGCCCCGCCTGTGCACAGCCCTCCTCGTCTCCTTCCCCTCTCCCTACAGCGAGCCCCAAAGTGTGCATCGCCGCTGGGACCCGGGAGGCCGGGGTCACCCGGCAGCGCGACCCCGGCTTTTCCTCCTGGCGGGACGGGGTGGGGACGCCTCTTTCTGCCCCTCCTCCCTTACGGCTGCCCTGAAAGCGCCTTCCCTAAGCTGGCAAATAAAGAGCACAGCTTCACAGGAGCCGGGCTGGGGCTCGGGGGAACCGACAGAAAGCCTATCTCTGTCCCGGCGCTTAGATGTGTACAAAAGGCTGCGCTCAGATCCTTAGGTCTGTGAAACGCGGTTGAAGTTGAAACACAATATCCGCCCACAGGCCCTGCAGGGACAGTGATTTTAGGCAGCGATAACTTAGAACAATTCTCTTTATTATATAAACATCATTAACTCCTGTTAGGAGAGGATACAAAAATACTTAACGTTTTCCTTTCCCAATTAAAAAAAAAAAAATGGATTCTGCATCCGGGGCCACACCTCCCACAGCCATAGTTATTAGCAGGGGATACAATTCTGGTCCCCAAGGGAGCCCGGAGAAATTTAGGGGGCACCACGTAGACTTCCTCTGGAATTGCAAGTGTATTCATTCCTTTAGTAGAACAGAAAGTTAGAATGGAAAAGAAAGTTTAAACTCTAAGGCAGTTTTGATATAAAATATAGATTAAAAGCTATCCAATGACTGTATTTTGACTACATCTGAAAAATCCCAAGTACTCTAGAACTTTAAATAATCCTATGGCAGAACGAAAGATATTTTCAGAACCAGATAATAGTATAAATTTCTCCAAAATACACGGGGTGTCGTAGTAGGGAAGTGTGTTGGTCTAGGTTCCGTCTGAGCCACCAAAGCTTGCAGGGTGAGCGGAAAGGGGGCTGGGTTTCTGTGTTTAGAGCAGTGGTTGTAATCCTAGTGCCCATTTGTTAGCTTGTGAAATCCGTGGGAAAGATTTAATTTAGTAGTGGCTGTTTTCCCGTCTCATTTTTAATCATATGGCTTCCTGTTGACTGCTAATCTTAAAGTCAAATGTGTAAACCTTTGCTTTTTTTTTTTTTTTTTTTTTT